TATAATGGTTTAATTGACCCCGGAATGAGAATGCCTAAATGTGTACTGGTGAAATGGTTTAACATGGGGATTTTCCATGGGACTACTTTTAAAGCCAATGAGAGCCCTCTCGGCCGATTGTTCTCTGATAGCTTACATGGGAGTGTTGCAATGGTCCATATAGTTGCAAGCTCATTTCCCCCCCACTGCCTTCAAATTTTCTGTATCCAGGTCCTTGCATCTCCTACCTTTGCAGGCCAATGTTGGCAGGGGGACAGTCTTCCTCTGTCCATTTTCCTTTGAAATCAAACCACGCAGCCAAAGGCACAGCATGGAATATTTCAACTGGAATAGGGCTGGTGGATACGGCTTGGCCAAAACAGTCTTGTTAGGCCTGTGGGTCAGTGGTTCCCCACTGCTGGGTCAAGAAGCCTGCTTTCCTTGCTCAGCCCCCCTTCCCTTAGAAGCTTCTCCATGCAAACAAACACGGCCAGGGTCGTGATCTTTGGTCTGCCACTATGATATTACTTGTGAAAGTCCTTGATTGTCAGCAGACGGAGTCAGGAGCAAGTCAGCAATAAAAACACCAGTCTCTGGGAACTTAACTCTTTATTCAGAGCAACCAAAACAGTGCAGGCCTGGAGATCCCAGCACCTCTTTCCAGTAGGTCTTGCCCCAGTGAAGCAGTTGCAAGGAGCCTTCCCAACGCTTCCTAAGACTCCCCCCCCCCCGTCCTTCCCGAGCAATTTTTAAAAAAAGATATTTATTAAGATTTTCAAAATATTACAAAATGAAAAAAAGAAAAATACAAAATAAAAATAGTTAAAAACAATTCCATCTTTCCATTACTTATCTTTCATTTGCTTGTTTCCTGGACCTCCTCACACCTCCCTTTTTTGTATTCCAATTCAATTTGTTAGTTCAGCAAATCCTTTCCCTCTTTGTTTATCCTAGTCTTTAATCTTAAAATATTGTAACATTCAATTTTTACCTGTTAATAATCCATTTTTTCATATTCCTTATAGCATTATAGCTAAAAACCACTTAACTTCTTATCCAACATCATTCTAACATTCATTAATTTTACAATATTTCTGTAGATAGTCTTTAAATTTCTTCCAATCTTCTTCCACCGACCTTCCCAAGCAATCCCAGGCTCCTTCATCTTTTTGCTCTGGCCTCGTTTCTTCGCGTGTTCTGGGAGACCAGGGCAGAGGCGAGCTGTTTGCCGCCGGAGGGGGAGACTCCCTGATTTCTTCAGCCGCTTCTCGGTCTCCTGGCCCCCGTCCTCATCTGCCGCTGAGTCAAGGACTTCTCCATTCCCCAGCCTCTTCCTGCTCACCTGTTTACCTCTTCTGACACCTCCTTCTCCCAGTCTACCCCCTCTTCTCCCTCTGACCACTAACTGTCACCTCTTGGCTCTGAGCCTTCTTCCCCTGGGGGTTCCCTTGGGGATTCCCCAGCTGCCCTCCCCCCCACTCCTCTGCATCCAGCCAGTCCATGACATTGATGCCTCTTTAGTTTATTGGCAGCTGTTCCAGCCAATCTGTTGTGTCTTCTGTGTCGCCATCTGTTGGTGTCATGTGGACAATGGGTTGACCTACACAGTCCTCGGTCTCATGTCTTGAGGAGCACATCCTCCACATCTGGGTATTCTGAGATGAGGGTGCCAGGTGCACTGGGTTACCATAGCGACACCAGTGAGATTGAGTGTATGACTTGCTGAGTCATTCGCCCTCCCATTGGTTCAGGAAATATTCCCACGTGTAGAGACAGGTATAATAGTCTGCAGGGCATTGCTTCCCTTATGTGCGTCCTCTCCTGCTTCAGGCCTTTTTGCTACCTGTTTGCTGTCAGGATCTGACTCTGAATCTGGGAGAGTCAAGGGAAGAGGCTGCACAATTTACACAGCATTAGCTAGCATGTTGATGGTGTTAGTGGCTCTCTGTGTACATATGTATCTTTACTTCAAAGGCCAGAAGAACCGCATCTAGGAGATAGCAGTGCTTAGTTTTATCTTGTGTCTGGAGACATTGAAGACTTTGGTACTTTGAACTGTGTGGGAAAGGAGTTTCCCCTTAACCAGGAACTCTGGAAGAAGCTGTCTGCTGGGAGCAGGAAGTCTCTGAGGACTCTGCTGACACGAGGGATGGTGAACTACCAGCTGACTTCCACAAGTCACCAGCACTAGCCCCCTTTCCTGCCTTCAGTTCAGACTCCCTTTTGCATATGCTTAGCAGCTGTCAGGGACGTGGCTGACTTGAACACCTGGGAAGAGACAGTCTCTGGAGATGAAGGAATGCCTGTACAAAGGGAGACAGAGTCTGACTCTGGAAGCGAGAGATCGCAGCCACAGTCAGAGTAGGAGTGGGGCAGTTCGGCCCCCCTTTATCAAGCGTTCCCAGACTTGGAGAGCTCACAGACAGAGGAAGGGGAGGAGATAGAAGACATCGAGGGGGTTGCTATGCAACCAGGAGGGAGACAGCATTTGGAGGAATTGTCATTTGATAGTGGGGGGGGGTGTTCACCCACCTTCTCCTCGAACCAGAAGAGCCGAAAGGGTTAAGATGCAACGGAAGTACAAAAGAGGACGGACTGGACTTTGGTGCCCTACATGTTGTGATAGGGGCGGAGACTCAGAGTGACCAACTTGTAGCTAATGGCGGCAGGCCTGGCGCCGCTCTCTGGATTTAAATTGCAAATAAACGTACATAAAACTGCCAGAGACTCGCTTGCCTGCCTGAGATCATTACAACAGCCCAGGGATTCTCCTGCACAGAAGATACAGCTTGTAACCAACCTTCAAGCAGATGTGACAGTCCAGGTCTACCAATACACTGGCACAGGCATAGGCAAACTCGGCCTTCCAGATATTTTATATTTTGAGACTACAGTTCCCATCATCCCTGACCACTGGTCCTGTTAGCTAGGGATGATGGGAGTTGTAGTCCCAAAACATCTGGAGGGCTGAGTTTCCCTATGCCTGCACTGGCAGATCTGCCAGTGCAGGCCAGGTTCCCTGGCACTAGGTTGGAAGTTCCTCACAACAAAGCTCTCCTCAAATAGATCTTTTTGCTCCATGAGTGAATGAGTGAGCTGCATTCAGGGACACAACTGAAGTGGAGGCCAACCTTTTCCCTTAGCATTGGGAGAGCCCAGAATTTGAAAATATAAGCTTCTCTCTGTCGTCATAACCTTGCCTGTTTATGTGCAGGACTCTATCCGCCTGAAGCGTGATGGGATGCTGGGAAGTAGCTTTTAAAAAAATATAAAATTTTGTCAGCAGTGGGTCTGATATTATCAGCTTTCTTACGGTCAACTCAGTTACTGCTTGAGTGTCAGCTGATGATGTTCAGTTGTTCCTTCAACAACTGTGTTTCACTGGTGTATAAGTTGAACATCCATGGTTCTTGTCACAAATCTGGCAGGCTTGACATCACCGAAACAGCTGTTTGATGGTAAATCTGTCATCCTAGAGACGTGTTGTTGTTGATGCTGCTTCTAGTGCACAAGACCCCAGGAAAGGATTTCTTTAGCTCTTTTGTGCATGCCTAAGTCCAAGTAACGTGGAGGGTGGGGAGAGAGCATAAAATTTTTGCGCCATCTGCTCCATAGACCAAGTGTGCAGCTGTTCAGCTAATGGCAGTCTTGTGGAGATGCTCTATTAGATTGAATTCCAGACCTATAGTGGGAGGAGAGTGGATGTGAGGAAAGCGTCTTCTTCAAGGCCATTTCCTCCTCTCTGCACTCCCTGAAAAGGAGAGGGTGTCCTTTGCAGCTAACCTGGAAAAGTTTCTGTCCCACATTAATGCCAGAGTTGAACCCTTGGGATTTCTAGATCTGTGCTCAGGATTGAGCCATTGTGGTTAATGGACCTAAGTTACTTCTGCCCATTGTTTTCAGTAGGTCTCCTTTGAGCAGGACTAACATTAGATGCAACCGCTGATTTCTGCCCTGGGGACAGTGAGTCTGTTGATGGATATTAGTGGGTCTACTTTTGAATTCCACTTCATTGGATCGAAATTGAATGTAGCTGAACCTATCAGGGCTTGTATTTTGTGCCTAATTTAACCGTCACAGATGTAAGCCATGCTGGCAAAGGAAGAATCAAGAATGCGCTTTAACGCTCCCGGTTGTTCCTTTGCAGCTGTTACTGTACTGTACCTGCCTCACACCTGATGTCATATAGGTGGTCCTTGAGGGAAAACTGGAACTGCTGGCTGGTCTAATTTGAGCCACAGACCAGAGATTCCTGAACTGTGAGTTGTAGCTGGTAGACCTAGTTTTCAGGTACATTTGGAAATGTTTGTTGTGTCTTTCCTGTGGCCTTGGGCACATTCTATCACCCTCAGCCTTACTGCTGCAACTTGTGGATAAGAACTCAAACCTACCTTACAGGATGGCTATATGATCCCTGGGATAATGTATAGGAAGTGCTTTGAACGCTCAAAAATAACACAAATGCTGCTGCTGGTGGTGTTAACATCAGAATCACTAGGTGTGTATATGGAATGCTTTACCCAGGAAAGGCTACCTGGCACCAGCTTTTACATGCTTTTGGCAACAGGTCAAGACATACCTTTTCTCCCAGCATTTTGACTGATTGTGATAACACCTGGAGTGGGTGGGTGGATCTGGATGTGTGTCTTTGGGAGGAGTGGGGTATTGTTTATCATTTAACTTTATGGTTGCTTTTCAGTTGTGCTTGTAAGTTGCCTAGAAATGCTTTGTATTTGGCAGCATATAAGTAATAATAATAATAGTATCTTACAGAGTGAAAGAGGACAGATCACTGTCCCAAGGAGCTTACAATCTAAAATTCATTACAAGAGAAACGATAGCGGAAGGGAGCTTAGTAGAGGCAGGGGTAAACAGGCAAGCGATATACAGTTGTTTTGCTTGCAGGTAGGGGCTGAGTTACAGATCAGGGCTCAGAAACAAAGCAGTTGGGCAAAGGCTCAAAGGTATGTCATTAGCAAGTGAATTTTCTGCAATGTAACATGTTAAATCTTCTCTTGCAGAGCTACGCTGCTTCATGCAACTTCTTTAGACTCCCAGAAATCTCCACTTGTGACATGGATATAGTGAACTACTACATTTTCTGATCAATTCAGTCCCTTGCTCTGAACTCTTCAGCAGGTAAGTTGTTTCTTAAAGTTCTGACGCAGTTTATTCAGATGTGATGCTCCTGAGAGGAGCTTTGTATTTGTGCAGGGACAGCCCAATTCTGTAAGCAGCAGAATTCTGTCTTGGGGGCTCCAGGAAAATGATAATCCTCTCGGGGACACCATTTTCCACCTGCCCCCAAACCTTTGGACATGATGGCCTGTAGTGTGCAAGGAGCTGCCCTGATTGCAGCCCTTTTTGCAAGTACATACAGTGGTACCTCGGGTTAAGTACCTAATTCGTTCCGGAGGTCCATTCTTAACCTGAAACTGTTCTTAACCTGAAGCACCACTTTAGCTAATGGGGCCTCCCGCTGCTGCTGCGCCGCTGCTGCATGATTTCTGTTGTCATCCTGAAGCAAAGTTCTTAACCCCAGGTACTATTTCTGGGTTAGCGGAGTCTGTAACCTGAAGCGTATGTAACCTGAAGGGTATGTAACCCGAGTTACCACTGTAAATGGAATGAATTGATCTATGTTTTTCTTTCTGCCTTTGTATCCTACCCAATAACAACATGTCATCCGGGTGGCTTATAGGAAATGACAAATTCATTCCCCATAAAATAAAAGCAATAGTCCTAAATCTTAAGGGCAGCATAAAGCCAGCGGCAGAGTGACAGTCTCTTCCCTTCAGAATTGGAAAAGGAGCTGCAGCCAGGAGAAAATAGAATGGCAAAAAGCATTGTTTCCTCCAGCAGCCGAATATCAAGAGCCGGCCTGCATGCTTGAAAGGAAGGTCCAGGATGTAGCCGGACTTTCAAAAATGCCTCAGCTCCTGCTTTTGAGCTAGCAGGACACACCTGCACAACTCGTGACTCACCATGCTGAGCAGATACAGCAGATGCACGATGCCTGCTAGTAAATCTGTTTTGGCTCTTTTCCTGGGGCTGCATATGTGGGGCCGGAATGTGTGTGTTGGCAGGGCACGGTATAGGTATACTGGGGGGCTGTATCCATCTTGATGGGTCACGAGTTGGGCGGACCCGCGTCAGGGAATGGCAGAATGAACACTTTTGTGTGGTTTGCTGCCCCTCAGTCTCTGCCTCAGACCTGACCTCTGTGCCTGCGGGTATAGGGCAGTATGCAAATTACAACAACAACACTGGTGTAAACATTTACTACTGCTGTGAATGGAGGTATGCCCAAAAAAGGGAAGAAGAATAAAATGTCAGATAATTTTATTTTTTGCCCTGCCCCATTCTACAGATCCTCTAAAAATTCTGCACCGGGTGGTTTTTTCTTTATTTCTTTTTGCTGGCTCCCCCACTACAATACCCCAACATGATTTGGGGTCTTGTGGGTCATGCAGCTTGGATGGGTGCTGACACGGTGGTTTCTGCTTCTACTTCTAAACAGTCTCACTCCCCCCAAAAACTGTTGGAAAATTTATTCTCCACCCCTTTCACCCACAAATTCCCTGAGAATATTAATCAAAGTAACACCCTCAATTTCACTACCAAAATAGTAGGATAGATAATTTGGGGAGACAATTTTCTCTCTCCTCTAGCATGAATGCCTTGGCCAGTGGATAACAGCTAATTTTTTTTTTAAAAAAAATATATTTTAAAGCAGAATAGAGGATTGCTTTGGATAACAAATACACTACTTTACACTTTAAGAAAAGATTCTCTTGTTGCCCGAGGGACTTTGGTTCCTGAAACCAGCTCCATATTTCTCATAGTTTTCATGAGCAGTGCAAACCTAACAGGGCTTAGTTGTTGTTTTCAAAGGTTTCTTGGTGTTCGTCTGCTTCATGGTGTAACTTCCCAAAACATGTGGATGTGTGCATGTCTTTGCCTTGAGCAGAGTGTGACACAGAATTATGTATAGTTACCCTAGACTCTATTTTCTGTTCCAATTCTAAACTGTGGCAATCTACAACCTGTTCTCAAAGGGCGGAATTCATTGTCACACTATTACAATTGTTCCATCACTGCATGCGTTTTAGCTTGCCAGGTGAAACGCTTCAAAGCGGGGTATAAATAATAAAATTATTATTATAAGGGAGTTTCACTTGCCATTAATAACTCCCTGTAAGTTTCCAACGGTTGCCCGGACCCTAACTGGAAAACTTCTAAGCTAAAATGGCATTCTCACAGTAAGAGATACCGTATTTTTCGCTCCATAAGGTGCACCTGACCATAAGGCGCACCTACTTTTTTTTGGGGGGGGGGGGAATTCAAGAAAGAAAAAATTATTTCAAGGGAGCGCTGAGCAGAGCCTGTATGCATCCCAGGCTCTGCTCAGCGCTCCCTTTCATGAGCCGTGAGGCGTGTGTGTGTGGCTCCTGGGGGCTTTTCCCCGAGGAGGGAGAAGGGTGGGCTGCCCTTCTCCCTCCTCGGGGAAAAGCCCCCAAGAGCCACACACACACTCCGTGCAGCTCTTTAAAGGGAGCACAGCTCTTGGGGGCTTTTGCGGCAGGTGGGGGAAGTGAGAGAGCCTTGCTCTGTTCCTTCCCCCACCTCCCGCAAAAGCCAGGGATAGCCGCGCGAAGCGTCCCCAGGGCTTGTGGGGCTGGCGGGGAAAGCCCGGGTCCCCCCCGTCCCCCCCAGCCCCAGGGACCACACATTCGCTCCATAAGACGCACAGACATTTCCCCTTAGATTTTAAGAGGGAAAAGGTGTGTCTTATGGAGCGAAAAGTACACCCATTATTATGCCACTTTAACAGCCATGGCTTCCCTCAAATAACTCTGGGAACTGTAGTTGGTTGTGGCTGCTGAAAGTTGTTAGGAGAGCCCTCAATTCCCCGAGTTCCAAAGGAAGAGAGATTGATTGTTAAACCCCTCTGGAAGTGGTAGCTCTGTGAGGTGCTTGATAGTGTTCTGGATGTTTGGTGTGGGTGCTGCAGCCTAAATCCCGAGGGGCTCTGTGCTCAGAGAAGGCTCCCCTCCTCTTCTTGCAGGGTATGGAGAGTGGGAGACGGGGCTTTCGAGGGACACAAGGGGCAGCGTGTTTGACCCTGTGCTCTGGATAATACTGAAATGGTTGTCCTCTAAAAATACATGCATACAGTTTGCTATTTTCCCTTCTTAGATACACTCAAGCGAGAACCCCAGTTCTCGGTCTCTTTTGTGCGTTTTAAAAAGAAGGACACCAATCTACACACGCGTGCTTTCCACAACTGATGTGGCATATGCGCGTCAATGCTGTTTTGTTTCTCCCCCTCCACCCCAGACTTTGCTGCGACACAGCGCAGAAAGATAGAGAGTTGCCTGGTTACCTAGGCGATGTGAGACTTCTCCTCTCTCTTCCTGCACTGCTCTGCAGGCTGCGGGGCTTCCTTTTTGCCATCTGCAGAGGGGGTGGGGAGTTAGTGGGATTGCTTGCCACCCTATCAGATTCCCGCCCCCCTTACTGGCTTCCACAACAGGAAGCATTACATTTGTTAATGTTTCACTAGGCTCAGGAGCAAGAGAAATGGGAGACCTTTGGAGTGTGGCTCTGGGACATTTTGCAGCCTGGGGAGGGGGAGAAAGTGAGGGTCTTGTGGGAGAAGCCTGTGCACTGGGATGGGGGCAGGGAGCCATGAGGGAGAGGAGAAGAGACTTAAGGTGGAAGGCCAGACTGGATGTCCTGTCCTGACGTTGTTGTCAGCATCTGTCTGTCTCAGGAAACAATGGAGTGTGCCTCCAGGGATGAAGTTGAATCACTGTGTTTGCAGCACCAAAGTGACCTCCCTGGGGCACAAGCCTGGGCAGTGTGTCTGGAGGTCCTGGGCTGCCCAGATGACAAGACCCCCCCCCACACACACACACTTGGCCTTGCTGATGTGGTTCAAAGGAAAGCAGAGCAAGGCCTTTGGCACCATCTTGGTTGCAGGAGTTGCTGGGATTTGTGTCTGATTTACTCCTTAGCCTTTTCTTCTCCCAAAGATGTCCCACAAGGCAGCGGGTACGGATTTCCTCTCGGGGTTTACTCCTGAAGCCTTTCTCTCACGAATGAGTATGGCCACAAGGTAGCAGAGGTTTAGGATGAGTTTTCCTTCTCCTAGATGGGCCGCCTCCCCAGGTGGATGACCCCCATCTGCCCCTCACTTCCCTCTAGAGCACATGCAGAAAGCGCCCTCTTTACCGTTCGACCAACATTTGTCTCATCCGCTCAATTCGCGGGTTTCTGCATTCTCAGTAGTGGGTTTTATTTTCTAAACCGTAGCTCTTTTTCTGTGATACTGCTGCATCAAAATTGTGTTTATGGTTGCTTTTATTTGAAGCTTCTTTGAGGGTCATATGGCGGGTTAAGAGGCCTATAAATTTACATATAAAGTGGGTGGGTGTCCAAAATTTATACTGCTTAATATGAAATTTTTTTTTTATAAAAGCAGATATTTAAAATATTCAAAAGGTGATTAAAATCAACAGTAGCTAGCATGAAATAAAACATGTAAACTCCATATGACTGCGTAGGCTTGCCTAAACAAAACTGTTTTAAGCAGGCAGTGGAGGTTCCTGCCTGATGTCAATAAGCAGTGAGTTCCGAAGTGCAGGTGCTGCTACATTAAAATATTGACTTCCTACAAGCATGGAATGAATATTATGTGGCATCTGTAAGTGTGCCAGTTTTTGCATTGCCGGGGCTTGGGCTAGATGACCAGTGGAGCCCAACTCTGTGATTCCATGTTTCTGTTAATGTGGTCAAGTGGGTATGTCTGAGGTAAGGCAATCCCTCAGGTAAACTGGTTGCTTTATATACGCCTTCGACTTGGCCTGTTATCAAATGGGCATCCACTTCAGATCTCTTGAGTAGAGGTGTTATATGATGACAGGGTCTCATTCTGCCCTAGCGGGAGTCCTTGCACTGCCTTCTGCTGACACATCACATTAGTTGAATCTGGCCCAGAAGACTCACACACTCAGTATATGCTCAAGATACCGTACATTAAAATGTACTCTTCATTTTCTCGGTGCTGAGAGGCTATAACAATTCAAGTGTATATCATTTCTCATGTTGAAAGGTGTGGGTTTTTCAGTGGGTCT